TTCTTATAAAGTTTGTCATCTCAGCGATTTTTTCTTTTCCCTAGACTATTTGAAGTGAAGTCAATCGGTTGTGAAATAAGTGACTACAGCTGTATGTGATTGACCAATAAATAAATAAACAAAAATAAACAATTCGGGGTCGGAAAATGACAGAATTTTCTGAAACGCCTAATACCTTTCACAACATGCTGCAACACTTTCAAGCAACTCCATTGGGTCGCTAATAGGTTATGATATTTCAACGACTCCGTTATGAAGTTTTGCACACAAGTGTGAAATTCATATGCCAGACTAATGGAAATTTCTGTATTTGCTCGAACCAGCTCTAGAACTCTCCCTTGCCATTGTGTACATCAAACGAAAAACATCTAGATTAATACATTTTAGAATAAAATTGGATAAAATGATCAAGAATTCTAACATTGTAGTGGGTAGTAAATCATAATATCTCAAGTGAGCGAATGGTAAATTGAACTGATACAAACCAGGAACTTCCTCTTCTTGCATGGAATCCGAGGTGAGTATCGGTTCTTTTTCGAACAGCGTTGCAGTTCGCCTCGATACACCTCTCCCTCTGTCAAGTCTCTTCTTCGGATAAGGCTTCCCAGAAATATCTCTGCAAGAGTGAAAACCATTAAATCAATCGGAAAGTCGAAAAATGTCCACCTCGCTCACAAGTGTTTCGCCAAGAATATCGTCGAATGCATTAGCAGCTTGCTTACAAATGGAATAGAATACTTCAAGAGATTTTCCAAACTAGGATAGAACGGTTAAAAAAATGGGCAAAAGCTTGTAGCAATGCCCTTGGGTTAAGGCTTGACTACCAGTGCAATCATATCATAAGTACCCCGATAAAATCATCTCATTCATTGTTGGGAGAAAGACCCGCATTCCGATGTAAAACTGTGCACTTTTGAAATCAGAAACTTCATTCCTTAGAATAATTCATCACACGCTAATCATAAGACCAGTTGCCACAGATTAACACATTGCAGACAGGTTTCCAGCCTCTAGGCCGCGTAAGTCGAAGTTTCGGGAGTTTGTTAAGCAAATTGAAAAGAAAACCTATCGTGAGGTTCAAAGGAAGACAGCGCGGGAATTATATTAGGCCGGCCGAAACGAAATGTCGTTCAATTTTTGGCACTGTTTCTATGCTAAACAGTCTCACTACGGGTGGGTGCTTTTTCGCGAGGCCGTTTTCTGGCGCGCAGTAGGATATATTAACACGTTTGAGGACATAGCGCGTTTTGGGTTTTCTGCACCGCGTGCGAACCAGAGGCGAATTTTGCGAAGCGAGCCGCCGCCCACCAAATCCATCTTTAGAGGCTTAAAACCACAAATATTTAGATGACCGACGCAATGCGTTTTAACGGCAATTTCACCATTGTTCCATCTGTCAACTAACGGAGGTTTGTAGTAATGGACGGTGTCGATCCGACATGAGGATCAAAGCCGTGAAAATTCAAATTTTACTCATTTTCCCTCTAGTGGTTCCAAAATTAACTCGGACGTGGTTGTCGCATACGAATAGGTTCGTATTCGCTCCTATTATTCCTTTTTATCAACATGTACGTCAATAAAAAGGAAACGAGGAATGAAACTGAACAGGCATATCCGTGAGCCTATGAGGTTTTTAATTATGCTAATGTATGGCCTTTAGAATGAGTACAAAGACCATAGGAATAAGTCGCGCAAGCGCAAGAAAAAGGGATGATTCGGGTGGGACGCTTCACCGCGTCAGCTGTCGTCAACGTGTAAGGCCGATGTCAGACTTTGCGAATCGCGCGATTCGCTAGCGTCCGCGGTCGCGTTGCGGTACCAGCCAATTGAGTGATTCACTGGCCGCGACGCGACCGCAGACGCTAGCGAATCGCGCGATTCGCAAAGTCTGACATCGGCCTAACACATTCATTACGATCTGGGCTGCCTACAATAATCGGTTGCCAATAGGCGTTTAATAACGTTATTTTTGGGGATAACAAAGAAATGAAATAGGGTCTCATCGTAACCATAAAGGGCAGATTTATCGAAAGGTTACACATGCTTCCTTTGGGGAAAGTTATTCTGAGCCGTATGAAATTTTTGGTTTGATTATTTTCTCTTTTTCTTTTTTTGCCCATGTGAATGAAAAGAGTACTAGAAGTAGAGACACGCGCTATATAAATGGAAAGATGAGTGCGTAAATGGAGGCAATAGAGTTAAAAATGCTTTTAGCTCCCACTGCAGGGAAAGTGAATGAATGCTCCCTTTTCAGTGAATGAATGTTAAAAGTCAGGGAACGATGGAAAACAGATTCGAAGGTCTGAAACTATCCAGAATAGTCGACAAAATTAAAAAAGTGAGCGGTTCTCTAAAATCCCCCGAAGTGTCACAAAATGAACTGTCGATTTAAAACCAAGAAAAACTCACAGCTTTTTCAACTCCGACCAAATTTTTTCCATTCGATAATAATCCATTCGAAATTTCTCGGGCTGACGATGATCGACCAAATCTTCCAGGTAATACTCCTTGTGGTCATCACGCAGTGTAAACGACGGTGTACTTCTGAAGCGCAATTGCAGAACAATTTATTTAGGAGTAAATGGAAGTAAATGGAAGTAAAAATTCTACCTATCTCGCATAGTTCCCTCCGCTCGAGTACAACTACAGTTTTTGTCGCTAGGTTTTTTCATAGATCCTGTCCAAAACGGGGAGATTCCCTGAACATAGCGTTGATATGGCCTGGTTGAATGAAGAAAAAAGGAGGTCACAAGAACCATACCATCATGAGCTTGTTCATTTCGCATTCATCTGGACAACTGATGACACTTCCACACTGATCACCAAAGTCGAGTTTCTTGTCCGGTGCCAATTTACAAGGTGGTACTGCAAGCATCTCGCGTAGGCTACGAATTCTCGCATCGCTCGGCATTGCTTTGAAGTCGCAGTCTGAAAAATGTTTCCGTGTTTTTACAAAAGAATAAACCAAGCAAAGATAAAAGGATAAAGCATTTGCCGTTGATCAATCCCTTTTTGGGACGCATTCTACTTCCATTTGTACATTCGTAGTGGCGTTTGAATGCGATGTGGCCTATACAATGACTTGCGGGGGCCAGCCGATGTACAAGTCAGTGTTTTTATCCTCCCAGACAAGTCTGGTACCAATTAACCGACCCCGGAGGGATGGAAGGCTTGGTTGGCCCGGGCGACTCACGACCCAGGATTTGATCCCCGGACCGCTCGCGTGGTAAGCGCGCCACTTGCCACTACACCACTTCCGCCCACTAACAAGGAAAGGCTCCAGGTCGCCATGGCCATTCAAGAAGAGATGTATACCACTAGATGTGCCTTTGAACGCTGATCTCAAATCTACCTTCCAAATCTGCTAAACGATTCTCTGAAGGAGTTATGAAGCAAAACAGCGCAACGGCAGTGGTCGGGATTTGCAGTCAAAACGTCGTAGGATCGGCCCCTGATCGCGTTTACTGTCTTGCGTTCTTCAGGAATTAGGCTAAATAGGCTATTTAAAGCCTTTTAGCTGTACTCCTGAAGAAGGCAAAACAGTAGACGCGATCAGGGGCCGATCCTACGACGTTTTGACTGCAAATCCCGACCACTGCCGTTGCGCTGTTTTGCTTCATAACTCCATTCAGAGAATCGTTTAGCAGATTTGGAAGGTAGATTTGAGATCAGCGTTCAAAGGCACATCTAGCGGTATACATCTCTTCTTGAATGGCCATGGCGACCTGAGAGCCTTTCCTTGTAAGTATATATGATGAAAAATTTTAGGACGCACTTCAACATGAGAACGGACCAAAATCAACACTAAATTGGTTGGGAACTCTTAGGAAGTCCCCAAATACTGTATCATCACTGCTGTAGGGATTAGTGCTAAGAATTTTTGAAAATATTTTGAGGTTTGAGACGGACGCAAAGTAGCATGGCGTATTTAGGACTCTAGGATTTCCGAAGAATTTCTCTAGCAACAAGTGCAAAAAACTAGGGAAATTATGGGCAGACCCAACCCTCGCTCGCCCCCTAACAGAACAATGAATACCGTGATGTAAAGCAATGACAACGTAAGTTCTCAGTAATATGCACTGTCTATGAAAGTACAATATAATACACTCACCCGCATCGTGGTGCATACCCCAGCAAACGCTCGATTTGTATAGCCCGTTTAGGTTCTCGAAAGTTTCCAAAACACTTTCTTCGAAGTTCAACTGTTCGCCCAAATGACGTTCCACGTGATGGACTCTGATCCATAATTCTCTGTAAAAAAAAGGTAATGCTGCATGCTCAGGAATAAACGCAGAAATTGTTTTTTCGTGAGAAAAAAAGTTTTCAAGAATTCGATGTTTACAAGAGAGAATCAAGCAGACCGGCACATTCGGCACTCTTTTCTACTCCTTACTTTGTCAGTGTAAATTACCCAAAACGTCCGTCAAACTTAATCTATCCAGAATAGAAACGCTAAATTTTTAAAAACTTATAATATCCTAGTGCCGAAACTAAAGTCAACGCCACTGTGCTATGAGGCTACCGACAAGGACAAAGACAAGGTCGTTTAAACCGCTAAGGGTAGAAGCTTTGATAACAATTCTATTTGTGTTAGTTTTTTTAGGCCCGACCGGATCAGCCTGGAATGGCGCGGAGAAGAGATCCTGAGCCGAGGGCCGGAATGTTTTCACATACGCCAGGGGGGGGGGGGCGGTAGGGTTGGGAGAACGAGCGCGACAGTGAGCGGACCACCGAGCACGATCCAATCTTTCTCATCAAAAAGTTACATGAAATGAGCGTATTACCGACGTTTTTATCTTTACGCTAGAGATATTCTCAGCATTATTCAGATCCTTCATGTTATAGCCGCAGAGCACAATATAGTGCCCCCCACCTTCCCTCTTTTCCCTCCCAAGGCGCTTTAATCGGAGAGGTGAATTTGAAAGTGGGCACTGGGACGTAGAGAGCGATTAGAAATGAATGCTTCAAAATTGAGTCACGCCTCGGGAGAAATGTGTGTAAAGTAAAATAGGAAAGATGCCGCACCCGTCCACAGTCTACAGCAAAACCCTACTTATATTGTTTGCCTAAAACCACTGCCAGCTTAACAGAGCGAAAAAGCTTTTCGTCAAATGTCTCAGTAAGGCTGATCCGTAGTTGCGACTCGATGCGAAATTTCGCTAGCGAATAGCTGGATCGCGGAGGCGTTGCGTCCAACGATCGAACGTTGCATAAGTGATATCGAGAAATGTTACGCTGCGAATCGCGATGCACCAAGCCGAGTCGACAAAGTGTCAAGCGAATCGAACTAATGTACGCAGCGATTCACACTGTTTTGAAAATTGACGGGACCCTTAAAGAAGCCCCCACTTTCAACCCGTGGGGTCCCCCCTGAAGGTGGACTTCCCTTCGTACGTTGGGGTAACGCCACTTTCGAACAGTGCCGAGCCGCTGGTACATTGTTCGATTCGCTGGTGTCAAGTTCGATTCGCTGGCGCAACGGTCGGATTCAGCGATCTGGCGGTTTGCGAATCTCCCGATTTGCAAAAACTATGACATCGGCCTAACTAGTATAACATCACAGTAAGCGCCATTGGGCACGTCTCGATCTGTAACTGACCAAAAAAACCAACTCCGTTGAAATGACAATGTAGAACAAAAAATACCCACTCGTTGAATGACAGTGCACTTTTTCTAACCGATTCATCAGAATTTCGAAGCGAAGAACAATTGGAGACAGTGGGAAGAACGGCAGACTTCTGACGAGGAGTGGTCGACAATCTGGAATCACTCAGGACACTATATTCCCTTAAAAACAGCAAAGCGTTTGGATTACCTTTTGCAGCGTTCGGGAGAAAAGGTGGACACATTGTAGCCCAAATCAAGCATCATCGAACACTGATCTTACGCTTTTTAAGACAGAATGGAAGGAGTCCTCTGGAACATGCAAAAAAAAATAACTGCAGATTTATAAAATGCTTGCATCTGCCTACCTAACAACATCCGTGCTCTGGATCGCCGGGACATAAGAGCTCGTTCCGCTTCCTTATGTCCACTTTGAGCTTTGACTGCTCCTCCGATCGACTCCCGTATAAAGGACCGTTCAACACATTTCGATGTCTTAAACGGTATTGCCATTATTTCAAATAGTAAAGTGGGTGAAAGCGTCACTTTAACCCTTTCGGACCTGAATTTTTCCCCGTGGAGAAATTTTTCTTCTAGCTATTGTTTATTACTTGTGAGCATATAAGTATCATTATGGCGAAATTTGGAAGCTATTCGATCACAAACAAAGAAACTAAGAAGCTTTGAAAATTGGCCCACCTTCTTAGTTTTTGAGCTTATGTCGAAACAATTCCAAATTTCATAGTTATGCCGAAAAAGTTTATAATCTTGCACAACATTATAACCCATAATTTTGATAGAAGAATGGATCTACTTCAAGTATTTTAGGAAAAAGTGGCCCCATTTATCGCCAGGTTGGCGTGCAAGGTCAGCGTCGATTCATTGTTGCACTTGTACACAAATACTTGTAATACTAACAGCAACAACACAATGAAATGCAGGTTTAGCTCATAATTAGGAAGGGGAAGGTTGACTGAAGCAAGCTCTAGCAGGATTAGAAAAACCATGCTGTTTCAGCGGCAATGCAAACATTTGAATTTGTGGTGGCAATTGCCACCGCCAGGGCCGAAAGGGTTAAGTATAGAAGCACTATGATTGAATACACGACTGAATAGCATGCTTGCATCGATCTATAACGTAGAACTACTGTGGAACTACTGTGACCGACGAAAACCATAAGCACAAAAATGAAAAATGAACTTTATGTCCAACTACAACAGACTCTAAGCGATCTTCAGCTTAGTGCTGTCTCTCGCATTGACTCTATTGGACCGTGAGGAAAGTTCTTGCGCTTTTCATAAACCATTTTTGTCAACTTTGACATAATCCTACGGAGGCTGCCACCGCTTAATATTGGGTTGATCCATAATTCCTGGCCGAATTTTTTCAGAATCAATTTTCTTCATGTCAAATTAGTGTCATTACGAAATAAGTTAGTATGTTGAAGGAGGCATCAGTACCTTAAACTAGGATGTTCCAGAAGGTCAAAGGGCAGTGGAATAAGTAAGTAGGGATCGAAATGGATCAACGACCAAAGCAGGCGATTATGCTTAACGATCATTTAAAGAAGAACCTTGCAAGGAGTGCAGTAGGCAAGACCAGCGCTGTGTTTGCCTCAGTCTTTGCTACTGATCGGGCACTGGGCTATTGGCTTGAAAGCATCGGCAAAGGCGATACAAGCTGCAAAGTTTGACCTCATCCTAAGCCCCCAGTCACTTTCGATGAGGATCCATTGCGCTGTGAATCGGAAGTTCACCCGGACGCTACCACCTGAGATTTGTAGCAGATACCTGGGCACAGCCGATGCACCACCGCAAGCTGTCTGAATGAAACGGGCTGTAGCAGAATGAAGTTTCGATGGGAACGGCATGCATCTCTGACCATGACCGAGAAGCAGACCTGACCATCTGCAGAAATTTCATTCTGCGCAGGCATAGCCTGGACTTTCCCTAGTCGGTCACCAGTGGAGATGAGTCATGAGTCCACTACGACAACAACACGCGGCACGCCTTATGGCTATCTCGCAGCCTGAACCCACCATCTCACCCAAAACCCGACCTCTTTCGTCAGAGAATATTACCCCCATTTGTAGGATTGGTCGGGTATCCCACTTTGAGAACCGCTTCATCTTATATAGACAACCACTGCGAAGATAACCATGGAATAACTCCCGAGGTTGGCCGCAGCAGTGCGAGAGAACCATTCGAAACGTCTCAAAATCTCCTTCCTCCGGATGAACGCCCGACCTTACATTGCGAAGATAACTCGCCACCTTCTGAGGGAAACTGGCTCGATCGCGATACCACATCTATCGTATAGCCCTAACATTACTTCATCGCACTATCCCCTTCTCGATGCCCTGAAGCAGTACCTTCGAGAGAAAGGGGTCACTGAATACAACCACCCAAAAAACGACCTCTCCGAACTCTTCATCCCATAGCTCCACTCGTTTTGAGAGGAATGCATCCATTCGCTGCCTAGCAAATGAATGCATATCAGCGATTGCGACGGTGGTTATATTGTTGATCAGTTATTCTCCAGGAAAGAAAAAACTCAATGAAATGAAAGTGTCGAAATTCGGCCAGAAATTATGGTTCAGCCCAAATACCATTTCGAAGAGCTTTCCCTGATTCATCTGAAAGTTAGGTC